GGGCTGGGCGGGAGCGGGCCGGGGTTCCGGCGGCTGCACGTGGGCCCGCGCCCCGGCCGTCTGCGCTCCTCTTCCGCCCCAATCGGGCCTCCCAGGCTCCGGGAAGCCGGTCCGGAGGGGGCTCACCCCCTCCTCCCTCGCCCGGGGCAGGCAATGGCCTCTATTATTTCCCGCCCTTTTTCTAGGACAAAAGGGGGCGCAGGACAGGGGCCACGTCGAGGGCCGAAGAGCCGGGCGGTTTGTCAGCTGTGGGCCGCCGCCCGCGGCCTCTAATCTTATCGGCCGATTAGTTGAAGCCGCAAACTCGGCGGCCTTGATAGCGGGCTCAGAGCTGGGATACGGGCCGGAGAGTGCAGCCGGCGCGGGGTTCCTGGCCGCTGTCTCTGCTCCTCTTCGCTGTCCCCTTTCACCCTTCCCCCTACCCGGGACGGTTTCATCGAAACCCAGGCGCCCCGGGCGGATCCTTGGGCAGAGAGAGGGCGGGGCAGGAGCTGGAAGGCCGAGGCGCGGGGAGGGGCAGGAACTGCCTCGGACACCCAGGGGGCCCCAGGCCGGTGGCCGAATCCAGCGCTCGGCAGCGGAGGGTCCAGGGGTTAGTAGGTGCGGCGGGCCGCGCGAAAGCTGGATCCGTTTGAGGGCCGCCTGTATTTCCGGCAATGACCGCGTCCCTTCTCCTTCCCCGCAGCGGCCATGCAGGCCACTCGAGCCCTGATGGTGGTATCCCTGGTGCTGGGCTTTCTGGCCATGTTTGTAGCTACCATGGGCATGAAGTGCACACGCTGTGGGGGAGATGACAAAGTGAAGAAGGCCCGTGTAGCCATGACTGGAGGCATCGTTTTCATAGTGGCAGGTGAGTCACAGGTTCAAGGTGGGCCCAAGGGCTCTCCTCTCCCATCTTGGAGTGAGGGTGGGTCGGTTGCTGGTTTGGGCCTTACAATACCAGAATCCTCCTTTTCTCTCCAGGTCTTGCTGCCTTGGTAGCTTGTTCCTGGTATGGCCATCAGATTGTCACAGACTTTTATAACCCCTTAATCCCCACAAATAATAAGTAAGTCTGGAAGCCTTGCTTCCTAAGACAGGTCTAGGGTCCTGGGATAGGGAGGAGGGCAGAGGCAGGCCAGGGTTTTTAACTCTAATCCCTTCTCTCCACAGGTACGAGTTTGGTCCTGCTATCTTTATTGGCTGGGCAGGATCTGCTCTGACCCTCCTGGGAGGTGCGCTGCTCTCTTGTTCCTGTCCTAGGAGTGAGAGCAAAACCGGGTACCTTGCACCCCGCTCTTACCCTAAGTCCAACTCTGCCAAGGAGTACGTGTGAGCTAGGAGCCCCCTTGCCCCAGCCTGACAGGCTATGGGTGTGCCTGGATGCCTGAAAGGGTCTGGGGCAGATTTCAGCCTGTGGGCAGGGTGCAGGACAAAGGCTTCTTCATCCCTGCACACCATGTACAGTTCTCCAGGGGGTCGGGTGGGGAAGACAAAAAGAGGGGAGGGTGTGCTTTTTGTACAGTAATAAAAAAGTTTTGGAAAGTAGGCTTTTTCCTCTCCAGGGCCTCTGCTTTCTTCCCTTTCAGATCCTCGCAGAGCTTGGAACCTAAAGTGTACCTACTTCAGCTCAAAAACCACTTATAGAGTACCAATGGTATGCAATGCCATTTGTGGCCTCTATTTTATTTTATTATTCAGGCCCGAACACATTGACAACTGACTCTGAAAGACTGGCAGTTGGCTTCCCTCATTCATCCCCATTCCCCTACTCTTAAATAGCCACCAAAAAGCTTCTTTTTTAATAGAAAAACACAAATTTTATTAGGCATTGGGGGGTATTCTATTCTCTCTCACCTATGCCCTCATTGCACTTTCTGTCATTATCAGATGCTGCTTCCTGGCTCAGAGAGCAGGGCCTCCATAGTCACAGGGAACAAAGAGGGGGCAGGGTAAGGCCAACAAAATCAACAGAATGATGGTACCGGGCTTAAGGTCTTCCCCTTCCCCCTCCAATTACAGCCCAGTCCAATCTGGCCACTCAAATATCTAGGTCGTCATCTGGGTCTTCTTGGTCCAGGTCATCATAAGCATCTGGCTCATAGAAGATGTGACTGGTAGTCTGACCTGGCCCAGGGTGCAGTAGAGCCTGCTGTCTGAGAGGGAAGAACTGGTGCTGATGAGGGTGGCTTTCAGGTGACTGACTCTCACTCAGGCAACTTCTCTGCTTCTGTGTCACTTTCTTGGTCCAAACCCCTTTCTCTGACCTCCATGACCAGTTAGTGCCAAAGCACCACTTGGTAGTAAGACAGATACTCTTGTACTGCTTTCCTAATACCATAAGTTCTTAGCAGCTTGAGGGCAAGGATTCTGTCATAGTCTTGCTTCACCCACCCACGCACTGGGCACATAACAGCAGTCATCTACTAAGCCCTTGTTAGCCATGCTTTGCCACACCCATGTAGCCACTAACACCCATGTTAGCCTACTAACACTGTTGCCTGGATAGGGCCACCTCCCCAGGGTCTAGTCTGGCTCAGCCCAGGCCCAGATTGCTCTGGGGACAAAGAACCCAAGGGTCTAATGGAGAGAAAAAGAACATAAAGGCCTTTTGCCATTGTTGAGGGGTATGGGTGAATAGAGAACCACACCCCAGACTTGCATCTGGAGGTGGACTTCAGCCCCTATAAAGTCTGAGAAGTTAATCAACAACCTGCTGTCACCCCATCTCTCTGTGGCCCAGATGCTAGGCTCTATTCAGGGATCTAGGCACCTAGGTCCCAACCTTACTTTTCAGAGCTGAACTGGAAGGGCAGGGTCAGGCTATCTTTGGCTTCTCTCTCTTTGTTGGACAGGCGAAGGTTAAAAGTCAAATGTGCCATGGGATCCACCTGTAGGTACAAAAAGGATGCTGCCACTCTGCCCCATCCCCAACCTCCCCAGTTTTTATTCTTTTCTCTACTTTTACCAAGTCTTTTGTTTTTTGAGTTGGAGTCTCACTCCGTCACCCAGACTGGAGTGCAGTGGCCGCTCCCGGCCACTGCAGCCCTGACCTGCTGGGCTCCAGCGATCCTTCCGCCTCAGCCTTCCAAGTAGCTGGAACTACAGGCATGCGCTACTATGCCCGGCTAATTTTTGATTTATTGTAGAGATGAGGTCTCGCCAAGTTGCCCAGGCGGGTCTTGAACCCGGGGGCTCAGGCAATCCACTCACCTCAGCCTCCCAAAGGTGCGGGATTACAGGCTGAGCCACCGAGCCCGGCTTTTTTACCAAGTCTTAAGCTCCATTTCCTACTTCTGGTCCTAGCATTCTTAGATACCGGGGGTGTGTGAGGATCTAGGTGGGGCTGGGATTCTGGAGGGGGCCCCTCTTGGAGATCCAGGCTGAAGTCTGGCAGGATGGAGAACAACTGAGTCTGGGGAGAAGAAAGAAAAGAGTTATGTTTTTTTTCCCCATCTTACTGAACAAAACAGACAGAAGAATTCACGATGGCTGGGCTCAGTGGCTCATGTCTGTAATGCCAGTATTTTGGAAGGCAGAGGCGACAGGATTGCTTGAGTCCAGGTGTTCAAGACCAGCCTGGACAACATGGCAAGACCCCACCTCTATAATAAATCAAAAAACTTAGCTGGGCGTGGTGGTGTGTGCTGGTAGTTCCAGTTACTTGGAAGGCTGAGGTGGAAGGATCACCTGAGCCAAAGCAGGTCGAGGCAGCAGTGGCCATGAGTGTGCCACTATACTCCTTCAGCCTGGGTGACAGAATGAAACTCCAACTCAAAAAAAACCAAAAAAAAGCCGGGTTTGGTGGCTCAGCCTGTAATCCGATGCCTTTGGGAGGCTGAGGTGAGTGGATTGCCTGAGCC